TGGAGGTAAAGCAAATAGTCTACCAAAATGGATTAGCTTTCAGAAGATGCAAATAACCCTTAAAAAGTCAATAGAAAACAGACAAACCTCCCAATAAATACCAGGCAGAACATGAACAGGTAATTTACATAAGAGGAACCCCAAATTGCCATCAAACACATAAAGAGAACTAACTTCACTGGCAATCAAGAAAATGCAGAATAAAACCAGATGCAATTTTACATGAATCAGAATGACAAAAACGGAAATGTCTGAGAGCACAAGCATTAGGAGTGCTGTAGAGGAACAGAAGCTCTCATGCGAGTTTAAATTGGTGCAACAGCTTGTAAAACAAATGTGGCAATATATAGTTGAGATCAAGATAGGTATGCTCTTTGACCCAACTCTCCCTTTCCACTACAAACTCTAGGGAAGAGCTCACACGTATGTGGTGCAAGGAGATGTGCACGAGGCTATTTATGGCAGCATTATGTGTAATAGATTAAAAATCAACCTAAATGTTCATCAACAGGAAATGGATAAGTAAATTGTACATATTCATCCAATGAGGATGCTCTATTCTATGCGGTGAAAGTGAATGGACTAGAGACGCAGGGGTTGTGCTGCAATGCCAAAAACATAAAGTTGACAAAAATGAGTAAGTTGCAAAATGATAGTACAGTGTGGTAATACCATTTTTGATAAAGTTGAAAAACAAGCAAATCAATATATGTCACTATGAATGCATATAGTAAAAATGTAAAAACATGGACCAAAAGGATGCAGACAAGTTTAGGACAATGGCCACTTCTGGAGAGGGTGGAGCGAGAAGAACAGGATCTTGGAGAAGCACTAAAGGGGCTTCTATTTGATTTTTAATGGTTTCGGTTTTTAAATAAAGATGAAGCAAATAGGAAAAATGTTAACCTTTGCAAAATATAGGTATTGGCTATATTACACTATTCTTTCCTGTTTATTTGAAATATTTCACAATTGAAAAAGTCCATGACATATGTCAGATGCCAGTACTTTCAGATATCAGATAAACACATTTTCATTTTTATTTTTATTTTATTTTAATAAAGGTTATTTTATTGGGGAATTAGGGGAGAGGAACAAATAAGTTGCTGTCCTTTTGTTCTTCAGTCTAATTGTGGAGGACATCGCTTCACTGGCCCATGTTGGTATTATCATTGGGCTCTTCCCGGCTGAGGCAGATCGATCGCTGGACACTGGACGGCCGCTCAAGGTGGCTCTAGGCAGCTCACGCTGGCTGCTGGCCACTCAAACTGGCTGCCAGCCACTCACGGTAGCTTATGGCAGCCCACTGCAGCCTCACTGCAGTCTACGTCATCGCCGGCGACTCATGGCAGCCCAGCTCCAGGTCGAGCTGTTGTTCACCATCTTAGCTGTAGAGGGTGCAGCGTCACTGACCCTCATGTGGGGTCCTAACCGGGGTCCTGCTGCTCAGAGCTGGTGTCCCAAGCCAGCTCATAACCAACGTGTCACTCGGCCAGCCCCAGATAAACACATTTTTAAACTTATGTAATTCTATTACTCATGGCCAGTCTGTCAAAACAGAAACATTTATGGAGCACTCCAAAATTCCATAACAATGCTCTCGGTGTCAGGCCACCTGCAGAGAATAAGCAGAATGTCCAAACAGATGTGAGAAATATGAACATGTCATTCTAAGAAACATAATTCATTGTGACTAACCTGCGTCAAAGGAGCCACAGATGATATTGACGGCTGGTCTAGAATGTGTTGAATATGACAAAAACCTACTGAAATATTTCCCTATCGCCCATAGCTCTTCAGTACTTCAACCAGTAACTCTCTTTTTCCCCAGGCTCTCTCTAAGGAGATACATGCCTCTCCCTTTTCTGTGTGATATATAAACATGTATTTGACAAAGAGATACTGATGGCTTCCTAAGTGTCAGCAATGCGCACACTCACGGGCACACACACATACATGCATGCACACAACCCATGTAGGGTGCACTCCCTTCTCCAGGTACCCTCCCTCTTACTGCAATCATCACCCCATGCCCCTCTGTCGGTATTGTCCCTGAGAGTGTGGACTGCTGTCCCCCTCCAGGATTGTTTGTTACCAGACCTTAGGTGGGACGGCTTTGGAGACAAGCTATTGCTTTATGAGGGATTATTCAGGGACACTACAGGTGACTCTAAAGATGTCACATTTATCTTTGATGCTTTCATGATTCAAAAAAAGGCTTGGGAATGTGGTAGGCAGGGAACAGGGTGGATTGAGGGAAGTGTCCCTAGAGGAAACAGGATGAAGCTCTTATACAGCAGAGTACTCAGGTATTCAGCTTCGCAACTGCTACGGCCCTGGGCTTCTGCTCAAGGATCAGAAAAAAGAATTGGTTCCAGGTAGGTGTCTATTTCCTTGAGGGGTTCCCTTGGTTACAGAGGGCTCTAGAGACTGGAAGGGCCAGAATCCTCTAGGAGACACATTCTTATAAGCGCAATCTCTGCTCTTCAAGTCTTGACATTGGTTCTGGGGGTGCCTAGTGGTCCGTGACCTACACTGCTCACCACCAGGAGGGCCACAGTATGCACAAGGAGAGTCTTAAATCAGACTCAAGTCCTTATCAGAGGAAGTGCTAATTAACCTTCTTTCTGTTGTACCCAGAAGTATCAGGTCAAATCCCCTTTACCTGCTGTATTAGTAAATTTCCATCACTGCCAGAGGTAGCAGTGGGCTAACCGGTCCATCCTCAGAGACCCAGGCAGGGAGAGCTCCTGCAGGGCTAGGCATGGGAGGGGTGAGAGGGCTCCATCTGAGCCCTCCTGTGAATCCCACTGCCTCAGAAATGTGTCTAGAGGTTTCCACAGTGAGATTGGAAATATAATTTTGGAAAATTTAAGAACAGCCCAATTTTCATACAAGTTAACTAACATCTCTAAATGTACAGTCAATTTAAGTTGTGAAAATTCTGATAACAGATTTTACTATTCACAAGTTTAATAATCATTGCCATATTCTTCAATCAAAATTTAAGAAACAGTCTCTCAAAAACAGCTAAAGTATGCATAATTAATTTTAAAAATTAACTTCTTATTGCGGAATATCTTTAGATTTACAGAAAGTTTCCAGGGATAGTACACAAGAGTTCCTATATCCCCTTCACACAGCTTACGCTAATATTAACATCTTGTATAAAACAATGGCACATTCATCAAATCTAAGAAATTAACACTGGCACAATATTACAACTAAACTACCTATTTTTTCATATCTCACCAACTTGTGTCCTCACTAATGTCCTTTCACTGTTCAGGATTTAATCCAGGATACCACACTGTATATAATCCTCATGTCTCCTTAGTCTCCTCCTATCCATGACATTTTCTGTCTTGTTTTTCATGACCTTAACAGTTTTGAAGAGTATTGGTCTACATGTTGTGGAACAAACCTTAATTTGGCTTTGTCTGATGTTTTCCTCATGATTAGGTTGAGATGATGAGTTTTGGGGAAGAACAGCACAGAATGAAATGCCCTTCTTATCACATCAGGGAGTACATGATAGCACCATGACTTATGTGGGGATGTTAACCTTGACCATGGTTAGGGAAGTGTCCACTGGGTTTCTCCACTGTGAAGTTCCTGTTGTTCCCTTTCTAAGGTCTAGGTTCTTTGGAAGCAAAACTCTGAGTCTCTGCACTAACTGGCTGGGTAACCCTGAGCTATTTAACTTTATAACAAATTATTATTAAAATATAGCTAATGTACAAGATTATATTAGTTTCAGGTATATACCATAGTTATTCAACATTAAGCGATTTAACCTGTTACCGTCATCAGGATAGCTCTCTTTTCTCATCCTTCATGGGCACTTGGCCACATCCTTTTAGGGTTCTGGTCTGACAGGGAGGAGAAGCCTGAGACCTCTTTGGGTCTCAGACTCAGAGGTCTTGTTGACTACAGACTACCCACTGGCACAAGGACCTGTCTAGAGACCAGCTCAGAGAGCTTTTACTTACGAACCTCTCCTCATCACATCTTGGCTGATGTCCCTTTAATTCCACTCATCCTCCAACTGCCACAATGGGCCACGGTCCGTAATGAGTGTTTACCGCAGGCAGGAGGAGGGGTGAATTCCGGTGTCCAGTGCACAGGGGCTCTGTCTTCCTTAGACTTTTCATGATCTCTTACATCACCAATTTACACCCCTGTATTTTAGAACTGGTCAATCATTCCAGACGTCTCAGATCTCCATGATGTTTTAAAACTTTTGTGTGTGTCCCCAGTGCCCAGCCTTCATAACAAATGAACACATTCAAAATTCCAAGCTGCCCAGATAGTTTATACAAGAGAGGAGAAATATGCCTTCTGTCCTTTATCACAGGGGCTCAACCTGACTCAGCCAAGAGTGACTCAGGCCTCCTTAAAGTAGGAGACAGAGAGGAGGCTGCAAGCGTTGTTCAGCATAAAAGTTTTGAAGGGCAGAGCAGAGGAAAGTTGTTAGGCTTAGGGAAAGTGCAATTCATACCAGAGGGCTTTGGCTAGAACAAAGGGAGAAAACACTGGGCAGTGAAAGAACCTCCACAATTTAGGCTGAGTGCCCAGCAAGTTTACAATAGAACATTACTTTTTATTTATTTCATTTTATTTATTTATTTATTTCTTGTCCAGCTGAGCCATCCTGACATGTGTTGGCAGCTCAGCGGCAGCTCAGCTCGGGCTGGGAATTTAACCGGCGGCCCTGTTGCTCAGAGCTCAAGTTGTTAAACTAACTTTTAACCAACTGAGCCACTCAGCCAGCCCAACATTACTTTTTAAAAACTCCCTTTACCTAAATTGATATAAAACTCTTCTTATCTATAAAGTATTATATTATACCTGTAGTTGTGAGGATTCAGTGGGGTAGTCTTGTGAAGGCCTGCTATATAGTAAACGTTCAATAGATCTTCTTCTCCACTCCAAGGATTTGGAGGCAGCTCCTGGACCAAACTGTGAACTAACTTTGTGTCTCATTATCAAGATCCTAGGAGGAGGGTGAGGATGGAAGATCTGTCACAGCCATCTCTGCCTACGGGATCGGCTTTGTCATCACCAGGTGTCTGGCCCAGGACGGGGCCCACGTGGTGGTCAGCAGCCGGAGGCAGCAGAACGTGGACCGGGCTGTGGCAGCGCTGCAGGGGGAGAAGCTGAGTGTGATGGGCACTGTGTGCCACGTGGGGAAGGCCGAGGACCAGGAACGACTGGTGGCCATGGTGAGGGGTCAAGGGGTGAAAGGACGCAGGGAGAGAACACACAGAACCTTTTCCTCACCGCTCAGCCCTGGAGGAGCAGGGACCAGGACGGGGGTCCAGAAGCCCTAGAACACATCCTGAGACCATGATGGCTGAGCAGACACTGGCTCTCTGGAAAGTGGCCAGTTGATGAGAGGACCCTCACCCCTTAAACCCCTGGCCGCACACCCTGAGAGAACTACGGTTGAGGAAGGGTCTAAAGGAATTTTCCCCTCCCAAGTCCCCAGAAGGATTTTTGGAGAAGACCTTCCTCCCCTGAGGTCCTCAGCACAGAAAGCCTGCCAGTGGCCTATCCAGGGCACTTAACTTCACCAAGAGTTAGGTTCTCACAGAACCTTGTGACTGGTCATTCCTGATTGAGACATTATTTAATCTGCAAGCTTTGCCTCAATGCCCATGCACCTGGGCTGTCTGCCAGGCCATCTCCACACTCATGCAGCCCTTCATGTCTTCCCTCCCTGTAGGCCCTGGAGCACAGCGGAGGTGTGGACTTCCTGGTGTGTAATGCTGCCGTCAACCCCTTGGTGGGGAGCATCCTGGGGAGCAGTGAGCAGGTGTGGGACAAGGTGAGAGGCTGCTGGGAGCTGGCTGAGGGGCTGATGTGCTGACTCTGCAGTGAGCTCCAGCAGGACAAGTCCCTCCGAGCCTCTCCCCACCCCGCCTCTCCCCATGTTATTGTAAATACATGCACTGTGCCTGATGCTACTTTCTGTTTTGTGTGTTTTTAAAGCTAGTTCCTCACTCTTTCTGCATTATTTTCTCTTCTCATCCTTTTTGCATTTATTCAGCAAATACGTATTGAGGGCTTGCTATGTGCCAGGCACTGTTCCAGGCTCTGGAAACAGAACTGTGGAAGTAAGTCTCTCCTCTTGACAGGACTTAAGAGCCGTAAGGTCTCTGCTCTCTGTCAAGAATTTATGTTCTTACCTCCCTTTACTGGGCCATATGTTGGTGGTGGTGCTCGTATGTGGTGACCTGTACTGACACTAAGATTCTCTGCCTTTCACAGACAAGGGTCCCTCACTGTCCTTCAGATAAACCTGCTGCACTCATCAAGCCTGCACCCACCCATCAGCTTTCTGTGGGTACGGATGTTCCAACTCGTTATGATTCCACTTAACCATCCTTAATAGCTGGTGTTCAAGGGTCCAGCAGAGACCTTTGAAATGCCTTGAGGTCCGTCTCGAGCTTCATTACTCTCCTATGACTCCTATTCTGTACTCCTGTGTTTTGTTTCCTTGTCCCTCTATGGACAAAATGTTTGAACGGAGTCTCAGACTTCCTGTTATTGTTAGCACTCCCTTCTGCCCCAAGCACTGGGACAGAGCATTTCCTTCTGTCCTCCCTAGTTCTCCTCACTCTGCTCAGATGTCCTCAGGCTGCCACTCCTGCTATCTGTCCTTGGCTGGGTGCCCTTCCCACCCTCCTCAGGGATGACCTGAAATCTGAGCTCCCTTCAGCTGCTGCCAGCAGCCACCAGGCCCTCTAGCTTCCTTAGTGCCTCGGAAGGATCATTTGTGATTAGGTGGCTGGGATTTCATTGCTGACAGTCTCCTAATCCTCCTGATTCATTTTCCCTGTTAGTGTCGCAGATCATGGGATCCCACTATCTTTGCCTTGGAGGTTTTTGAAATCTTCCCTCCTGAAACAAGGCTCACTTTGTCTCCTGCTCACCTATCCTCCACGGACTTGCTATTCAACATGCAGTTCTGCACCACCACACAGAAATCATCCCCCAGTTACATATGCCACCATCTTGGAAGTGAAATACATGATCACAAATCAAGTTCAGAATTTACCTGATGCTCTGCTTTTACCAGAACCCAATTTTCAGTATGTGTTCTGTGAGGAGAATTCCTTCTCTCTTATCTTATAATTGGCCCAGCCTGAGCACCTCTTCAGGCAGACCCCATTCTCCCCACAGGATGGGATCTCTCATCTACCACCCCACCACATCTCCTCCATCCCTCCTCCAAGGATTCCAGCATGTACCCGACTCAGGCTCACAGTCCCTACCCAGGACTTGGTGGCACACTGAGCTGGTCTTCCTTTCTTGCTAATATAGGGCAGTTTTCCTGAACAAAGAACAGACTCTCCTCTTTTCCTTGGCTAACATTTGGCTCCCAAGTCTAGGAGGGGCCTCATCACAGACCATCATCCAGGGAGCCAACACTCATGGAGCTTAGGGTAGACATCTCATGGGCTAGTGGGGCTCTGTTTGAGAAGAGAGTGACCAGGAAACCCTTAGCCTAACCCTCAATGTCTTCTTATTGGGGACCACATACTGGTGCCCTCTTTAGATATCCGAGCCTCTTCTTGCAGTCCTGGGGGTCATCTCAGTACTGGTTCCCTGTCATCAGATGGGCCCCAGCAGAACTCAGTTGAAGCATTTCCCTGCTCACATCCATGGGGATGCGTGGTGTGGGATGAGGATTGGGGAAAAGAGTTGACAGTTGCAGCCATGCAAGTTAGAGACTTATTCTTTAGAGATGCAGAACAGCTGACCTCACTAAAGACAGACCCCACAGGAGGGATCCCTGGTGCCACTTTAGTCCTGGCTGGCAATCTGTCGAAGCCCTGGGCTCAGTGTCTGCATCTTTCCTTGTGAGTTCCTCTCTTACTTCTGCCCTGTTCCCAGACCTACCTGATAGAATTTCCAGACAGAGGGTTGGGGACCCTGATGCCTGATCCCAGTTCCATGTTTTAGTCACAGACAGGATTAGCATGGGAACCTAGCTTCCAGAATGGCAGTTTTCTATTGTGCCTCCATTTTCGTGTTGGCCCCAGGAAAGCTCAGCGCCAAGCCTGCATAAACTGGCGTATATGTTGGCCTTGACAGCATGAATTTTTGTGAATGTAGAATAGAATAATGCTGAGTCCTTACCATGTGCTGTGAACTACAGGGACCAACCTCTCTCTAGTCTTTCTTATTTTTCTACACTTAGTTTTCCTAGTCTCCTTTGCTTCACACATAATGCCTCTTTGGTTTGCTTTATGCTGTTGAATTCTGAGTATGCCTTAAATTCTATTGGGACTAGGCAAGAGCATAAACACAGAGAGGTAAAGATGACTCTAGTCAAAGAAATCTCCCTTGCTCTCAGCACCTAGTACTTTCCCTCCTGATGTTCTGCAATCCTTTTCCAGTGTCCTCTGCTTATAGCTTCTATTTGCATGTCCATTTTCTTTAAAAGGCCTGAACAAATATTTCCTTCACCCCAGTCCCAAGCAGTTCACATGTTCAGGGCTCTGTTCACAAGCCTGTCCCTTAGCCTGCCTGCCTATTAAACTATTAGAAGTTGGAAATGCCTCTTGCCCAGGTCAGAAGGGGGATTAGTCTCTCCAATCTGCACACATCTGGGTTTGTTGCACAAATTGTAAGGACTTTGGGTGTCTTATGAAAACAGGCCTGGGCTGACTGTGTCTGTCTCTGTCCTCTGCTTGCTCTAATTTCAGATCCTGAGCATCAATGTGAAGACCCCAGCCCTGCTGCTGAGCCAGCTGCTGACCCACATGGAGAAGAGAGGGGCAGAGTGGGGACCGGTGGGAGTTGGGGAGACTGAGGCAGGATTTGAGGCTGGAGTGCATGGGGAACAGCCGGGAGCGGGCGAGAACAGAAAGGTCTCCCTGGGATCTCCATGTCCTTCCTCCCTCTGCCCTGCCTCACCCTGTGTGCAGCTATAGCTTCTGATTCTAGTGAATGAGGATGGTGTTCCAGGGGCCGAGGCACATTCTCCTTTGCTTTGACATCACCAGGCTTGGGAGGAGACTGTGCTTTAGCTCCTTAACTTTGTGGGCTATTCATTCACAACCTACTTAGGTTTTGTCATAGCTGGATAATCCCTTTTCACCAACTAACAACTAACACCCTGTTTTGCTCACAGGAAGTGGCCATCCCAGGCCCCTCCTTATTCCTTGCTCTTAGACTCCCGGGACTCTGCCTGTGTTCCAGATCCTTCATATTTGACCACACGTTACACATGTTCCCAGGGGTCTCATGACAGGGACTTGGGCCACCTCCTCCCTTGGAACACATCTGGTCCTCTGACCCCGTCTTATAGACATACCCTTTAGGAAATAGCTGAGGACTGTCTGGAGAGACAAAAAAGTTGCCTTGTCTCCTCCTGCTCCATCTGCTTCCGAGAGGTGGCCCATTGATAGGCATTCCCCATCAGCCCTGCCGCCTCTTCACCAAGCCCACTCTGCCCTCTTCCCCACACCTGGCTTTGCTCTTTGTTCCCCCATGGAGAGGCAGAGAAAACAATGGTTCTGAGCATGGACACTGGGTCAGAGAGATAGGGTTGGAATCCCAGCTCTGCCACTTATTGGCTGGGTTACTAAAGCTCTCTTAGTCTCAGTGTCTTTATCAGTCTCAGTGTCATTCTCAGTGAAATGGGAATAATTGTAGGACCTGTGTGAGGATTTTATTATTCAATGACTGCATTAGCCCCTCAATCAATGCTGACTTACAAGCTTCCTCTCTCCTTGTGTCTGTCTGTCTCCTCTCAGGAGGGGTGCTGTCATCCTGGTGTCCTCCATTTCTGCTTATATACCACGTGTGGTGAGTGCTTACTTCGTGTGTCCTGGTTGGGAAGGGGTGTGGTGGTTCCCAGAGCCTGGGGCAGACCCCCCTCTTACTCTTGCTGCCCTGGGCTGACCTGGGGTCCATGTGGCTACTGGGTCCCTCACACCCAGTTTCTGTTCTCAGACCAGGCTGAGGGTGTGTCTGAGCTCTGGGCTTGGGCCAGGTGTGATCCTCTGCAGGTGAGAAATCCAGCTGATGCTTTCTTTCACATCCGTATCCTCCTAATCACTCTTAATCCTGTCCCAGGAGCTGGGTGCCTACAATGTCAGTAAGACAGTCCTGCTTGGCCTCACCAGGATGCTGTCATTGGAGCTGGCTCCCAAGGGCATCCGGGTGAACTGCCTGGTTCCAGGATTGAGACTGATTTCAGCAAAGTGCTGAGTACTGAGGCATGGCCCCTATTCCCTAACCTGGCTCCGTGGAGGCCCTTGCCAAGGACTAAGGGCAAAAAGGGATCAGCATCCTTATAGCTGCAGTCCTCACTGTCCTCTGAACTCAGCCATGACCGAGTCCATCAACACTGAGAAACGCAGAGTGTCATATGTGTTCTGTCAGGTCACTACCTCGCGGCCCTCCCTTCTCCTTGTTTTATCATCACTGACTCTTTCATCTCTTCCTTTTGCCCAGTTAAATAAGAATGAGGTTTTCTGGAACAACTTCAAAGAAAACAACTAGCTGCAGAGGCAAGTGGGGTTTGGTGACCTGGTGATCTGGGTACAGTTGTAGAGGGTCGACTGAGTCTAACCCAGGAGCAGACCTCTTCCTGTGTATTGGCCATTCCTTTCTCTGAATTCTGGGTTCCACACAGCCCTGGAGGGTGTAAGTAGTCCTGCTCTATCTACCCTGTCCCACGCTGGAGCCCAGTCCCACCTGTGTGGCCTGTTAGCCCCAGAGCAGCAGATCCAGAATCTGAGATCGCTGACGCTGTGTTCTGTGCTCCTTCCATCCAGGATCGGGCAGCCTGGCGACTGTGCAGGTCTCGTGTCCTTCCTGTGCTCTCCAGATGCCAGCTACATCACCGGCGAGAACATCGTGGTGGCTGGCTTCTCCCCTCGGCTCTGACATGGCTTGGGGTCTATAGAGATGTGAGTATGGGCCTAGGAGCCTGTGGGTGGGTGAGCTAGGGAGATCATTGAGGTCTGGGGACAGAATCCAAAGCTCTTCCAGTCTAACAGAATGGAGGTTCGTTCATGCCAGGCTTGTGGAAGAACCTTCAATAGTCTCATCCTTGGGACACTCTGCTTCTCTTCCATGTTGAAATATTAAATGTACACATCATACTTTCTAGTCGCAAATCCTGTTCTTCCATTGCTTTCTGCTCTGTTTCCTCTTACATGGAGAATTCCTGTTTCCTGACCCTCCATTTTGTCCTAATATATCAATCCCTCCCTCTTTATTTCCCCCTTTAAATAGTCTAGATTGCACAATGTAACACTTAAATCACTGTCTTATAAGTGCCCTTAGTTTTTTTTCTCACTGCTTTCCCACTGTACTCCTTTGGGAGAACCCTTGTGCTTAATCAATCCAAATGTCTTTTTTTTTTTTTAACTATAGCTCAGTTTTTGTTGAAAACTGGAGAAATTAAGGCTTCCAATATAATTTTGACTTTTAATATCACTTGGCAATCTTTTTACATGATCCTACTTGGGACTATCTACCTTTCCCCTCAACATGTATTTAAACATTTACCAATTGTATTAGTGTGCTAGCACTGCTATAACAAAGTACCACAGACTAAGTGGCTTAAACAACAGATATTTATTTCCTTACAGTTCTGGAGGTTAGACATCCAAGAGCAAGGTGTCAGCAGGGTTGATTTTTTTTTTTTGAGGCCTCTTTCCTTGGCTTGAAGATAGCTCTCTTCACATGGTCTTTCCTCTGTGCATATCTGTGTCCTAACTCCCCTTCTTATAAAGACACCAGACATATTGGATTAGGACCCATGCCCAATGACATAATTTAACCTTAGTTACCTCTTTAAAAATCCTGTCTTGAAATATAATCACACATTGATGTACTAGGGGTTAAGAGTTCACCATATGAATTTGAGGGAAGGAACAGAGTTCAGCCTATAATATGAATCTTTTCAAGCCCACTGCCTCACCACCTCACCCTCCATCTTCATAGAGGAGGCAGGAAAATAATCTGACAACTCCAACTCCTTGTCCCTCCCACTACTTTATGAATCTGTCTATGAGGGGTTCTCTCTTTCCCTCACTCTTTCACATCAGTGAAGGGTGTCCTTCCCCATTCCACCACCATCCAAGGTGGCTCCCACCTCTGCTCTAACTGGACTTCTAGACTCTTTGGGGTCCCTGAGCTTTCAGTTTTCCCCTTATTTGTTTTTCCAATTTCTCCAGTGGCAAAGTTAAGCCAGAACAATTGGTCTATCATATCTGGCCCCACAGATCTCAAACAGCCTGTGAAACCAGGAGAGGTCCTTTTTACGTTATTTTGTGTTTGGGATTCTGCTTTTGGATTTGGGCACCTTGCCTGGAGCCGGTGTTCCATGCAATTATTTCCTCCAGTGTCTGCAAGAGGGAGGAGGCTCACTTGATGGCTTCTCCCTCTTAGTGTCTATATTTCTCCACTCCCTTTGGAGATAGGAGCAGGTAGGGAGGCCATGTGGGACAGTTCTGTGAGTGCTGTCTCAGCCTTGGTTTGGGAGGCTGCTGGCAGAGTCACTCCTCTTCTTGAGTCAGGAGGACAAGTTTGTGAGCTCTCAGAACTGTTTTCTGACGTTTTGGCATCCTCGTTTCCAGAGCCACCAGTACTCCCTGCTCCCTTACAAAATTGCTTTCACTTTATGTCAAAAATAAGTCACTTGAAACTTGGAAATAGACAGAAGAGCTGGGAGAATATTTTCAGTGCAGTGTTGCAGTGTTAGGATTCACTTTCTATTATGTCTGAGCAAAGATTAATGTGTGGATCTTTATCTGTTAGAGATGCAAATAATTCTGTTAGAAGAGATGGTCCCAAAGGTTATGTTTTATTGTCCTCTTGGACATTAACCTGTTTTGTGTCTAACCCTAAAATTTTATTCTAACATTTCTTATAAATACCCAGCTTCTCAAATGTTCTTTGAATTGGTCATAACACCTGATTGGTTCTCTCATTAATTAATGAGTTGAGTAACATTTTGACACTTGTTCATTATTTATTTGTATGAGAGTCACAATATTGTTTTTTGAAAAATCATATTTTAACACTGATTTACTGTGTGCAGGAGTAAACAAAAAGAGAGGCTATTAGACTTCGCCGTAGAACCATTTTTATTAATTATGCTGCTGAACTTCTTTCCATTATTTGTTTACCTTTCACGTAAGAATTATTTAAATTATCTCTTTTGTAAAGATAAAGCTTCTCAATAACCCTTTATCATTCTGTAGCTGCCATATAATACTCTTTCTCTTTAACAAAATGTTTTTAAAAAGCTGTCTAAAAAGTTGTCTCAGACCAAATGTTTAAGGCAAGACATGAAAAATATCGAGTATGTAAAGTTAATGTTAAAAGAGTGTGAAAGTTTCATGCCTATTTGAGGTAATTACAATGACAAGAAAGTTCTTTATGCTTTCCTACTGACTTAACTTTCCCGCAAAGTTGTGACCTCTGCTGGGCACTTTCCGAATCTCCACTGACTCTTTACCTCAACCAGCTTTTCTAGCTCTCAAAGTAAGTGAAAGCTTCCAGTGCAACGCCTCTACACAGACTTTCTCTTGCATCACCATAGGAACAAGACTCTCACTGTGGAAAAAAATCCCATTATCATGAGGAAAACAACTGTAAAATATGGACTAATGAGTTGAACAGCAAACATAGTAGGACTTGTAGTAGAAAGGAACTGAGTGACAGCAAAGGCAGTTGGAGGAAGGAGATAGGATATATTTCTGAGCTCAGATGGGAGAGACAAAATGTAGAGTCTAATTCTTGTTCTATATGCCTGAGTTCTTACATGCCACAGTACCTGGCTGGAGGTTCCCACTGTGGTGATGGAACAGCAATGGTAACAAGCAGAGTACTTATGACCTTGAGTTGCTTCTACATATCATTTTAGGAAATCCAGCAAAAATGACATGTGAGGGCCGGCCAAGTGGCGCGATGGTTAAGAACTGGCTTGGGACACCAGAGGGCCCCAGTTCGGATCCCACATATGAGGGCCAGTGACACTGCCCTCTACAGCTAAAATGCTGAACAACAGCTCAACCTGGAGCTGGGCTGCCATGAGTCGCCGGTGCCGGTGACAGCGTAGGCTGCAGCCCCTGTGGCAGTGGGTTGCCATGGGCTACCGTGTGTAGCCAGCAGCCTGCAGGAGCGGCTAGAAGCTGCAGTGAGCGGCCGTCCAGAAGCCGGCGACTGATCTGCCTCGCCTGGGAAGAGCACAATGATGGTGCCAACTTGGGCCAGTGAAGCAACATCCTCCACAACTAGACTGAAGAACAAAACAACAGCAACTTGTCTGTTCCCCTTCCCCCAATTCCCCAGCACTGTTCCCATCCCTCCAATTCCCCAATAAAAATCTTAAAAAAAAATGACATGTGAGATTTAATTAGTGTTATGGATTGAATGATTGTGTTCCTCCAAAATTCATATCTTGAAATCTAACCCCCAATGTGATGGTTATTTGGAGGTGGGCCTTTGGGAGATGTTGTCATGGGGGTGGGGGAGGGGGTTGTGGGGGAGCTTTCAGCGGTGAGATGCCCAGAGTAAAGAAAGCACATGGAGCTGACATGAGGAGGAACCAGCGTCTTTAATCAGCAATAGCAACCGTTATATAGAGGTTTTTGGGGGAGGAGAACGCATGGGAGTGCACTCCCACAAATGCAAGTCTTAAAGAGCTTATGTAACTGGAGCCCGGCACCTGCACAGCAGGCTCCAGAGTCAAGGTCTGTACGTCTGGGGTCATCAGCCTGCACATATCTGGACAGCCCGGGCTTCATGACCAGGGCTGCTGCTCGTGTGCTCCTGAACATGCCCGGGCCCTGTCAGGAGGTAATTAGGTCATGAGGGTGGAGCCCCCATGATGGGATTAGTTCCCTCTAAGAGAGATCAGAAAGCTAGTTCACTCTCTTTCCACCCTGTGTGGATACAATGAGAAGTCAGTCTGCAACCCCAAAGAGGGTTTTCACCAGAACTTGACTATGTTGGCACCCTGGTCCCAGACTTTCAGCCTCTAGAAATGTGAGAAATAAATTTCTGTTGTTTATAAGACACCCAGTCTATGGTACTTTGTTAGAGCAGCCCAAACAAAGAGTTAGTATGAATTGATAAGAAAAATACTAATGCCTAAGTAGTTAGATGGGCAAAGTTATGAAAAACAGTGCATAACAAGGAAATCTAACTGATCAATAAACATATGACAAAGTTCAACTGAATTAGTAACCAAGGATCTATAAATAAAAACAACAATGCCTTACTATTTTTGCTCATCAAAATGACAAAGATTTTTAAGGCACAATACTTACAATGGTGATGAGAGGTGAGATGAGTGACGAGACACGTAAAGAGTTAACAGGACCAGGCTTGTGAGCTGGCAGGATGGGACAGGCAAAGAGTTAGCAGGAGCACACTTGTAAGCTAGCAGGAACGAGCTAAACATTAACCGCTTGGCTCTGACTCTCCTGGCTAGCACTGCACCTGCAGCCTGACAAGCATCTTACATCCATCATAGGTGAGAACAGAACTGTTCCCAATCACAACAGCAACCCCCTGCAAGCTGACATCCATCATAGTTGGGAACAGGATAGTTCTCAGGAGAGACAATTGTAATAGCAGCTCTGGCATGCTGATAAGCACCCGACATCCTGCATGGAAAAATATAAAACCCCAGCATTCCTTCTCATCAGCGCAACTGTCCCTGTTGGGCTCTGCCCTGGCACAGCTCTGTTTGCCAGTAACTCTTTCTTACCCCTCTGTCTCGGCAGCTGTCCCTATCGGGCTCTGCCCTGACAAAACTTCCCTTTGCCAGAACTCTCTCTCTCTCTCTGCCTGACTTTCAATAAAGCTTCCTTGCTCTCCCACTTTGTGAATTGTTTTCACGTTCTCCTAACAAGTGGGGTTTAATT